AATATTCTCTCCGACGTTAAAAAAAACAACAACAAAAAAATAAATAAAAAAAATAAAAAATACCCAGAGGCAATTTTGGGTTAACAATGTGTCAGCGGTTAAAAGTAATAAACTGTTGGAGGACCAACACTTTTTGGTAATTTATCAAATGAGTGTACTTTCTGGTTTTTATCACTGAGAGAAACAAAAGAAGATTTGTTAACCCACTTCTCCGTCCCAATTATATTTCATTCCACAAGACGGCAAAATAGCTTTTGATTACATGAATACTCAAAACATATTTAAAAAAAAATGATAAAAAATCATAAACAAAGTAATGAAGATCTAGTTTTTACATCTTTTCATAAACCCAGAATGCATTGCTCATTTTAAATCATTTTTCTGTTGTTTGAAAGTACAGCATATCAAAATTGATTTATACACTTCTTAGAAACCAATGGAAAGATTGTTACTGCCAGTACATCAAGTAATCAGTCAATTATAATTGCATGTTTCCTGTAGTACAATGACTATCTTTAATGATGAACTCTGATGAAGTCTACTAAACTGAAAGATGTTCCTTCCGTCACCCTAATTCACTCGTTTCACTATCAGGGTCAAGTCCTGACTTGAGTCCGGACTGGAAGTGTGAAAATGTTCACACTTCCAGTCAGAAGCAACAAGATGACATAATTACCATCAACAGACAGCTTTAAACCCAAATCTGTCAGGGATATGAACAATTTTGGACTTAACTGTACCTGCTCACTGTCAGAAATAGTCACACAAAACATATTTTCTAATATTTCACTGATTAAGTACCGGCTCAGCTGTGCCCACAGACCTTTGTTTGAGAAAATAATCACAATCAGCTTTGTCCAATACAAAGCTGATGAAGTCTGACTGACTGTGTTTTATCACAGTTTATCAGTAACGTTGAGGTTAGCTGAATAGATCTAAATAACAGTTATGCAACAAGTACATATGATTGGTTGATGGATGGATGGATGAGTTGCTGTACATTGAGAATTGTTTCTCCTACGAACTGGTATTTCTTTGGCCACTATCTAGTGGAATCAAGACAGAGTTACTGCATTCCTTACTGGATGGCTGCTGAGGAGAGAGATAATTACAGCCCCCTTCTTGCCCTGGTACTTCCAAAACTTGACCAACAGACAGACAAACAAATGGGCCCAGTTTGCATTTGACTTTAGTTCAACACCAACAATGGTTCATCTGTGATTCTGCAAACTGGGATTGCTTCGACTGCAGGTAAGATATCGATAATTCTCAAGTATTCCTTACCACCAGAAAATTCATAGCGTTAAGCTTTTCCTTTGACATTTAATACATGTGTTTGCAGTCTGTCAGGGTGGATTTTTTTTCTATTTGTGGGTACCTACTGGGTCTCTTGTCTTTCACTTGTGACACCCAAAGCTGTCTGGCCAACAGGATCCTGAGAAAATATCCTTCATAAAGCAAACTCCTTGAGCAAACTCCTTGGTCTCTCAGATTTGGATACATCTTTTTCACAGATGGCGAGGAAGCAAATGTGCAGCAGTGCATTTGATCTGGAAAGGTGGCATCGTACTAACATCCAGGACAGGGTTCTCCATCACTGGTACTAATTTTTGCTGATAAAAAAATATATAGATATTGCTCTAAGCATTTCTATTCCAGCTGACAAGTCTGGTGAGCTTTGCTTAGGCAGTTTTTTTTTTCACTGATGAGAAAGTGCTCCCATCATGCTGGTTAACACTCAGCTAATTCTATTTTGGTGAAACGTCTAGACATAAAAACATTTTACTACAAACCAAAGCCGCAGCTCAGTTCTCTAAAGACGGACCAGACGTGGACCTTCCAGAAAACCCTGAATGACACGTCGGGTCCAAGCAAGTGTTTGGGGTTGATTTTCTGCCAAGCACCTTGCAGGGTGTTGATTTGAGCTTCAGAGATAAAATATAGCGGATGAAGTCATGTGTTAACTTCCCGTGATGCTTTTTTTTCACTGGGGAAAAGATTGTCTGCAGTCATAAAGTGTTTATATTAGCATCTTTTATGAGATGTTCCTTGTATACATAACTGTTTGCAGCATAATAAAAAAACAAGACCAACAAAGTGCAAATTACAGGGTTTGTGGGGGTGCTGACCACCTATTTTCCACACTCTAAGTCACAACATCTGTAAACAAAGTCACTGTATTCTACCATCTACACGCCCAAAAGTTTCGACCACAAATGATGTCAGTGCACGGTAATGAACATTTAAGGCTGAGAATCACTCACTTCATTCAATTAAAATTGGGGTTGCTTATAATTGCTTTCTATTAAAAGTTTTATTTCTCCAAAATGCATTTCTGGCACAATGATGAAAACATGGTGGGATCAGCAATGAAACTGCCAGTTATTCTTTAAGACCAAATTTGATTACATGTTAAGTTACAAGATGTTGTGTGTCATGCTTGCCATGTTTCTTCACATCACTTTTCAGTAACACCATCCAGATTTACAATCATGAGGATTTTTTTTTAACACTTTGGTGAATCATCACTTTGCAGTGAATCACTTCTTTTTGCTGGCTCTTCAATTTCATCTATGATTTTTTTTTCTAATGTTGGTAACTTCGACTCTGCAATTTCTTGTGTTTACATTCCTAAAGTTGCTCAATTAATGACAGTTTTTCTTTTTAGCTTTATTGAATCACAGTATAATTCAATCATTTATGAGAATTTCTATTGTGCAATTGTGAAGTATTAACTGTAAATGTAACTCTGTTCTCAAATCTGAAATCCAAACATTAGGTAATGTCTGCACCCTGTTGTGATTCTTAACAGGATTAAACTGCTGCTCAAAGTCAATTGAAAAACTATGCATACTTTTAATGATATTGATAGATATAACTATTATGATAATTAAATAATCCTTTTTTGGGGCGATTCTTTGTGTTTCTGTCATGATGTGTGGATGAGGTGGTGAGGAGAGATGCAGAGACCCAGGTTGTGATGAAGATGATGATGATTTAATGAGGGAGCACAACGAACACACGATGGCACAGGGAAACTGGCTAGTACACACGACGAGGATCCGACAAGAGACAAAGACAACAGGTGGGACTAAATACACTGGGAGGGTAATCAAAGAAACGAGACACAGCTGGGAACAATCAACAGGGAAGACAGAGACTCGGGGGAACAGGCTAATAAACAGAAAAACCTCAAAATAAATACACAGAAAACACAGATCACAACAGTTTCCAGTCTCCAAGAGATTTGTTTTCAGGATTTCTCTCCGCTTAGTTTTGTTGATCAACTCTGACCAGCTCCATTGTTCCATCTAAAGAAAACCATTCCCTCAGCATGATGCTGCTACTGCCATGCTTTCATGGATTTACTCACCTGAATTCTGGATTTCTTCCAGAGGTTCCGTGGGTGCATTGGATGTTTTGCTGATTATTAATGCTCTTGTTTTCTGGTCTTAGTAGCTTTGCAGATGTGCTGTTGACCTTCCATTTTCAGGTGGCACACTGAGCAGTGCTCTATGCTATGCTCAGAGCATGAGATATTGCTTTAAAACATAAACTTCCTTTAATTTTTCCAACACTTTATTACTGGACTGTTTACTGTATGTCCACACAGGTTGAAAGTGATTAGGCAAAGTCTTAAGGCAACTGGGTGCTACGCATGTTTTAGTTATCACAGTAAAAAGCACACGGCGCTTTTTTGATCTTTTATTTGTTAAACATTTTGACATGAATCGTTTTATTTACCTTGCAAAATTATGTGCTACTTTGTCAGTCAGCCACAAACTTTCTATTACAATCCCAATAAAACAGAAAGTTTGTGATTGTAACGTGACATGAAGAAGTTCAAGGGATATAAACACTTTAACGGCACTATGCTATGCCTTGTTAAAATTTTGAATGTAAAGCCAATTGAGAAACTTTGTGTTAAATTGTTTTACAGGTCATCTACTGTGCTGTATTTAACATCGAATGTGTGATGGGCTTTGACTGATGTCTTTCCTATGTTCTATTTTGTCCTAATCTGGAGGAAACATATTAGTGTGAGCAACCTAAATCGGTTACACAATAGTGACTGAAAGTCCTGTCAAGATTAAAAAAAGTCTAAAATGAACGTTGCTCTGATACTGCCTCTGGAAACAAAACACACAAAGCATAAGCAGGAAGAAAGGGCCTCCATTAGCGTTCAGTACAGTGACTGATGATTGATATGATAGCAAGCCTATTCAAACTGCAAATTTTACACATGATTGAGGCTCTATTGGATGTAATGAAATGGCTTTCCTGAATATTGCACTTGAGTGACTGTGTGACCACCAGCACAATGGCTGCTATTATAGCTTTGGACCTTCAAGCCCTCTTTCATTGTACCGGGTCCACTGTGTTATTACAGCAGAACTCAGAGTGAACCTGCGGCTTCGGTTTCTTGCCGTTTCGGATGTGACCATTCTCTCCGCTGGGAGCAATTCGTGGAGTGTTAATTGAGCACCGCAATCACTCAGCAGATTTATGGAAAGTCAGAAGGGTCACAGGAGATTTTCAGAGGAGGCTGTCCAGGGAGCAAGGCTAGCCTCAGAGCTGCAGCTGGGGAATTTCTGGCCTTTGGAAGCACGCTGCTGGCACACAAACTCCCTGTGTTCCTGCAATAACCCCAAAGGATATCTGTATTTTATAGATAAATTATCCCTAAATTGTTCATATGGGAAAATCATATAATGTTGTGGGCGTCTTTGGTGGGATGTTCTGTTTTACTGTATTTACACTTTCAAGGCGGAAAATATCTTGGAAAAAACACAATTCTGCGCTCAAAGTGTATTATCTTCAAATAAAACCGTGACCCAGTTTGCTTGTATTGGTCATCTACTCATACAGATGTGTGTCATTCATTGGATGATAACTGGAGGGACAGACAGACAGGGAGTGGCCTGTGGGGCCCATCTGGTCTACAATAATCAGCTTTAACAACAGATCTACACAGATGAGTATGTGTATAAACAGAGGTTCAGCTGTTGACTACACCATTTAACATCACATATTAGGCTATAACCTTGGGCCAAACTACTCTGTAAATATTAATGTTTATAGGATGCTCTGTTCTGCGTTGCCATTAATTCAGAGTAATGACACAATAACGTGTTTTTTTTTTACTTTAGATTTTATTCTGCGGTGCAGTGTGTCAGAGTATTAATTTGAATGAATGTGTGTGTGGCTCTGCATCTGGACACTCCTAATGCTTTTTAATCCCTTTCTGTTAGCCTGCAGAGCTTGCCATGCCACCACTATCAGCCATGTTTGCTTGTGTTCAAACAGAATGTGAGCATCTGACAAAGTCCTTCTTATATTTTTAAAGTTTACTTCCTCCACTCATTGAAGAATGGTCTTGTTTCACTAAGGTAAGAACAAAACTATGAATTCTTTTTTTCCCCCTGCTTTTTATTGCGTTATTTATGCAAAAATTCAGGACGGTATTTGGAGTTGCTAAATATGTGCAAATCTGAGTTTTTCTGTTGTGCTACTGGAACAACGCAGAAGCATAAATGAGGCACTAAGCATTTATTTTGGTTTTTACATTTATAAAAACTGAATAAACTGTGAAAGATGTGTTTAAATCACATGATTATAAGTAATAAAGGCCACTGTCTTTCTTTTTAAACACAACTCTACAAGTTAGAAATTAAATGTATTTGTATCATTGGTCATGGAGATCGCACACATTTTGCAAATGATTGCCATCGCTGGGAGATAATGAACAAGTCTTTTTAAGTTTTAGCTTCCAGATATTTATTACACTTCTTTCCACTTCACTTTACCAGATGGATGTTATTATTCATTTAATAAGAACCACCAATTCAGCCAAAACAAATGATTTTTTTTCCACAAAATAGTATAATAATGTACATTTATATGTCCTAAGCATTGTTTTTTTTTTACGATTTGCTTTCTTACAACATGGTCATTGTTGATACTCTGTTCTAGCTCTCTTCCATGCTATAAAATAACTCCACATTTTATAACCTATTGCTTCATCTCTGGCAACCTGTTGCCATAGTGACACCAAAATTAATTTCTGATTGGCTCACCAGTCCTTTGTGATGACATATCACCAATCTTCCAACTGGTGTGAAATAAAAATGCATTTTTTCCCCATATTTGTAGCATGACAGGACAATTTATCGATATCTCGGCAGGCTCTGCTGTTGGGGAGAAGCAGTGGAAGGAGTGCTTCTTTGCATTAAAAGACTCGGTTCTGAAATCTATATGTGATTTCTGAAATCTAACCTTGCAGACAGAATCAGCGCTTTGCTCTGCATCCTGAGATGTCTCTGAGTTATAGAGAGTGACTGTAGAGACACTGTGGAGATCCAGTCAGTTCCACAGGCAGTAAACTCAACAGCATACGTGTCAGGCCCAAAAAGCACTTTCGTTCTTGTTATGGAAGGATTCTCTGGTGGTTGGAATTAAAAATTGTCTTCTCACATTTTCCAACTTTATTATCCCCTTTTTAAGTCTTAAAAGGGCATAAAGGTTCAAACTGTACCATCAAAGTAAGTTTTCTTGCAAACTTTAAGGTCTTTTTTACTAATTAAATTCATTTGATCAACCCTCTCTCAGTAAAACGCAGTGTGTGGTAAAAGAAAAATTCATCGTCTTGCACATCAGTGGAAAATAGACATCAACTGCTTTATTTTGGCATCCACAGATTTGTAACCAGAGGACATATAAGTGTCATAAAAACAAGAGGCAGAAACAAGGCAGCCACTTTTCTAAATGGAGTGGGTGCAGTTCACATCTTATGATGGGTTACAAACGCTGGTATAATTTTGACTTGAATGGATTGTTTTTTGTGGGCAGAATGGTTAGGAAAATGCTGGTGCAATAACGCGATGCAGTTGAGAATAATTGCTTTGAGCTCGCCAAACTTTTTTTTTTGCTGTGATTATGTGATAAGCTTTTGAAGAAAAGTATAACTGTCTTACAGTGAGAGTTGCCCAGCCATGATGATTTATGAGTGCCTTATGTCTTTGTTTTGCTGCATGGAGCCTGCACGGTGCGTGGAGTCTAAATATCATGCTTGCTTTACACAGAAAACTAATGGATTTGTGTTACATTGGTAAATAATGTGGAGTTGTGAATGGGCTACAAGCAAACCTTTATGATCCATTAACTGGCAGGCGCGGTTTACCCCTGGCCTTGTGTGCCAGCTGGCAGAAACTGACAAGCCTGTATCATAAGCAGCCTCTGCCAATGATAGCTTTACTGTGGTTTGCACAGTTTCTCCCTAATCTCTCAAGCTGATTAGATACATGCTGTTTTCTCATTAGGCAAGACTCCTCATGGTCCCGTCTTGTGGAAATGTGTGTTGGAATGAAGGTAAACAGTGTGCGTATAATATGTTTGACTTGATGTCTACAGACAGCTCGGGAAGGGAGACAAGTCTGTGGAGTGGTTTGAATTTGGGTGGAGACGTTTGCATTTACAGTAGAACTGCAGACAAATATGCAAGGACCCCACCCTAGGACGGCGATCAACTCATCTGTCACCAGTTTCTTTATCATCCAGACAGAGATTGATGTCGAAGGATAAAATTCCTTAGGATTTATATTGCAAAAGAAAGTCCCATATTTAAAAAGCAAAAAAAAAAAAAACTTTTGAGGTTCGATCGTACAGTATGACTGTTTCTGTTTTAGTTAGGAAAACTGGCAACAATCTACAGCTTACAAACACAAATCATCATCTGTGCATTAGCTGTTCCTTGAAAAAGAACTATTTGTGGGTCCACTTTATAATTCATGTTTGATATATCGTAATTTTTTACAACCTTTCCTTTTTAGTTTTAACCTGCAATCATCTCTGACTAAACTTTTTTTTTTTTTTTTTATGAGATCATTCAGGTAGAAGTTATAATTCTGCTCCGGTTCTGTCCAAAATCGTTACTTTTAAGCACACCAGGCTGCATCACCACTCCCATTTCTTCCAACAACTGTGTGACTTTACGGTTCAACTTTTCTGAACATTTTCAGTCCATGTTTTATTTTTGAGGGTTTAACTGATGGGTGTCCATAGTGGTGGCTGAAGGCCCCAATAAAAGAGTGCTATAGTGGCTGATGCAGCTGGATACTTTAATTCAGCTTAAAAAATTGGCAATTGGCACCTTTCAGATTAGAGTGTGCGTGAAGTTAGTTATCTTACAATAACATTGCATTAGTCCTGAACAATGCAATGTTCGGGACTCTTCATCTAGCAGCACTCACAAATGTGTACATATTCATACAAGATGGACAAACAACTTGGCATTAAATGCCTTGTGGACACATTCAACTGGAACTGAACTGACAACTTTGTAATTGCAAGGAAGTTACTTTTCACATTGCACCTTAATGAGTTGTTTTACAGAATTGGGACAAAAAGTGGTTCCAACTAAGAAGTTGTTTTTGGTGGGTGAGGAAAAATCCATCCTTTTCACTTTATTATTTGCATGAAAATAATGCAAACTGTTTTTTTTTTAAAGATTTTTTTGGCTCTTGTGGCCTTTATTTGATAGTTAATTGACAGGAAAGTGGGTAATGAGAGAAGGGGGAAGACATGCAGCAAAGGTCGCCAAGGTCGGGAATCAAACCTGCGACAGCTGCGTCGAGGACTAAGGCCTCCATATGTGGGTTGTGCTTAACCCCTACGCCACCACAGCACGCCCAAGCAAGCATTTCTAAAAGGTGACCACACATCAAGACCTTAATTTTTAAGTCAAGAAAAGAATGTAATTTCATTTTAGACTATATGGGTTTACAATAAATGCAACATCATCATCCATATATATAGTCGTGAATTTTTGTTTGATGGCCACATCTTAAAGTGACTCACCTGCCTTTATAAACACTGGGAATCCTACAATTTCAAGGGACACCGTTTTTAGTAGGCTCCAAAATATGCTGGATTTTTTTTTTCTGCAACAGAAACAGGTCGTTTGAGAAGCATGTAATCCGGATATATGCACTATTTGATTCTCAAATCCTTCCACTTCCAAGATCACAGTCATTTACCAAGGCACCCATGGCTTCCAAACCACATTTACTTTAAGACTCCACAGTCAAATGGATGAGGGGGAATTCTGAGCAGACAGTGATGAAAGTTTTGGAAACAACTAGTGGGAGTGTGGATGAATCTACTGTACAAGAAGTCGAGGTCAAATGTGAAGGAGATAGGTAAATCAGACGCTTCCTCCATCTCCTCTAAAACGTGGCACTTTCACTGGGTCAGATAACAAGCGAGATACGAGGAGCTGAGGAGGACCTGAGGGGGATGTGGTGGGCATGAGACCAATAACAATAGTTCAAAGCCTCTTTGTATTTTAGGTCGCATTTGATCCATTGTCCCCGTTGGTCTTTGGAGACCACCACCAACATGGCATCAACATACTCAGGTTTGCAGGGTTTTGTATGACTAAGATGCCTCAAAAGATTAGGTTCAGGTGAAACCCAGGGTTAAAAGCGGGTGGGAGGATCAGGAATCTCACCATTGTTTTGGGCTGTTTCTGTGAGAACAGGGAACACTTAGATAAGAATGTACTTGTTTAAATGATAAATACCAGGCTTTATCTTCGTTGGAAGTTGTAATTATCCACATTAGGAGAAGTAAGCACGGTTAAGACGATAAAAAGAAATCTGAAAAGAAAAAATTAAGATAGATAAGCACGCATTTCTTTGTCTGGTGATGATTGTAAATCCCTTGAGGGGGATTATCGCAGTGGCCTGTTTCTCACAAGAAAATTCTCCTACAGAACTGACGTTTGTCTGTCTTGCACACTCATAGGGCAAAATAAAGGGTGTGATTTCTCGAGAGGTATGCGAATGAAAGCCAAAGGGAGAAACATCTCAGAGGGACACCACAATGAATGAAAATTTGGAGGATGCTAATGAAACAATGTGATGATTTACTGTCAGTAACAAAACATTTACTGTCATTTTCCCAAATGCTCTGCTTCCTGGAACATGTTGCATTTGGTCTCAGCTTCATACAGAGACTTTGCAAAGTAGTAAAAAGCTGCAACACTGTGTCGCTGTAGTAATTTCTGTATTATGCAGCTTTATTGGGAGATTATGTGATTGACCAGTTCAAAGGAAAAGCATGTTTTTCTGTTTTAAGCAAAGAAATTAGACATCTGAAAGTGCCTGAGAAATTTTTACTCGCCCTCTTAAATTTGATGCCCCTAAGTAAATGCTGGTGTGGCAATTAGTCTCAGAGGGCAACTCTTCTGTGGAGACCTCAGAGGATTGTCAGCGAACGTCAGTAAACAAGTTGATGGGAGTTTGAATGAAACCAAACACATTGTAGTACTGGAAGACTGGAGACTGGGGCAGACAGTCACCTTCCAGCAGGAAGATCACCATGGAGTAGC